ATGTTACAGAAATTTGACTCGACTTTGCGATATCTCTAGATAAATTCGTTTGCTCGTCAGATTTGTCGAAGTGTCACGTTTGACTCGTCAGAAGGAACTGAACGCCCTTCGATTATTCCTTTGTCTCATTTGGAAGACGAGCCCCACTCTGCTCGGGTCACGCCACCGCTCGCGTCTATGATCACGTATGCCTCTTCTTGTGTGAAAACGTAACGGTTAAAAATCGACGTTTCTAGAGCTCGCTGCTTGGCGACAACTATGCTCTCGTCGATACATTGTATATGATCCGGCGGGCAGATAAGACGGTTTGCCTGCGACGTTGTAGGACCGCGAGCGACGATTAGAAAATACAGCCTGTGGTAAGCCTCGTGGCGTAACATCTTCCATAAATGATATTTATAAAAGATTGAATTTATCGCATTAAGAAATCCACATTGATTTTCTTTAATTTCAATTAGCCTACAAATTTGCTTATTGTCGAGGTTGACTGATAGAGGAACGAGTGGATGAATTTGTAATAGAAAAATATATTGAAATAAGTATAGGTATAAGTACAGGTATAGTGTATGCTGATCTAGATCCTCACTCTTACAGTGTTACAATACAATAGGAAGGATGATAGGGAGCACATTCATATATTTATAGCAAAGGATATTACCAGAAAGTTAACTTTGGTTTGTAGCTCTAGTTGAATGCTACAAGAAACAGCAATAGAAATCTACTTATAGCTCTTTTTTTGTAGACCGTGTAACCCAAAACAACATTCATATTGAAAGCCACAATAATACGGACCTCTCCTTGTTTTTAGTTTTTTTGCTTCACTAGATTCTATTTTCTACGTAACAGCGGTGTCCAAGTTACGGATATACAAAAAAAAAAAGGTATAGAGTTCTTCTTGAAGTAATTACTTCAACACTTATATTAATTCCTCATACATAATCCTCATACATACTTAGTAGCTTTTTATCTTCCCTGGTAAGAATTTCGCGATATGATATATATTAGATTGTCCGAAAAGTTTACTTAATACTTAATTCGTACATTCAATGTGCCAAACTAATGTAAAGTCTCCCAAAACGAAAAGAAGCAAATAGCGTTATATAAACTGGCGCACTTCATGAGAAACTATCGCCATTTATTAATTCGCTATAAAAATTCGTCGTTATTTATGTTGTTTCTCGATCAGCCGAGAAATGGAAATATGCAATGGTCATTACTCATCGTTATCGTAACAGGCCGTTTTCTATCGAAAAAGACATACTTTCCGCAGGTGTCGGTAGTTCTCGTACGAGAACGGGATACTGGAACTCTACGAAAGTTTCGCTGACAAATCGTCGACAATCCAGAAATGTAGGTGCACATTCGCGATACTCGCATAGGTGCAGGACGTACCGTTAGAGAACTTTCGCCATAACCATTGTTCATTCAGCTGACACGTACGGAAAGCGTTCTTTGTTTATATTTCCCTGGGTAATCTAGCTTTCTCTCTCTCTGCTTTTTTCTTGTTCACCTTGTTTTGTTCTCTTTACGTACTTCCTGTCTCTCTTTCGACCCCCTTTTTACCCGCCCCCGTCGCCTCCACGATTTTTCTCACGCGCGCATTTTCAATGTCTATGTGCGTACGTGTCGGCATATTTTCAACTGAAACGAACGTAAATTTTTGTCGCTGCTCCGTCCTCAGAAATTACGCTCCACTGCGACAACTGACAAAGCATTCTGGCGGCTGTTCTAAAACTAGTATGGGAATTAGTCGGTTATATCAATGCTCATTTACTACCTTTTAAACATTTTAACAAATGTTTTATCAGAAGTATGTTTTATGAGAAACAGTATGTTTTATCAGAAGAATGTACTCAAAACCTTTTTTCATTCTCATTTTTCTTCTTTTTCTAGCAGAAAAATTTCATCGATCTATATATTTTCGTACTTTAACTATGACAAGTCGTGTGAGGATGGCTACATTCGCATAGTTTCCTAGAATAAAAGCAAATACGTTTAGTAGCTTTTTTGTTCCTTCAGCGTTATTGTTAATGATTATATTCATTTTCTACCTTTGATTTCGTTATTATTATTCGTTATTATCTCTTCGGGGCAAATGGAACAATATGTCTCGAGATAGGTGCCTAACTTTTAAAAAAATTAAAAAATGGAATTATAAAGTGTTTCACGTAACTGGGCCAAGTTGTAGCTCTGAAACGATAGATGACAGAAAAAGTTTTACCAGGCAGAGTTAAACGATTTCGACTCGTATTTCAACTCGTATTCGTCCAGCCTGCACATCTAAAGATTTGAAATTTAGCTATAAATTTTTATGTACACCAAACTAGTGCAACAGTATTCCGTTGTATTTTATAAAATTGTAGCTAAAATATCATGCAAATTATTCAATATTATACTCAAGTGTATAATATTTTCTTACAGAGAGTGATAAGGTGCATTGATCGGTGTAAAAATGAATTTATAATAACATAATATTTATTAATTTTGGCCTTCGCGGCTTTGAAATAGACTTGGCAACATTCATCCATCTAAACCTTCACATACGTTCTTATGAATTATAGATCAATATCCTGTCTCTACTTCGTGACATTTATAAGTCATAAATATGCTACTTATTGCTGCCTCTGACTTTGCACTTTCATTTTTCTTTTTCTCTAAGAAGAGGAATATTTTCCTTCCCCAGTTCCTTTCATGTTACCTTTCAACCTTCGCATTCTTTCGCATTTCGTTACATAGCGTATAAATGAATTTATATCTCCCATCAAAAAAAAAAAAGAAATGTTGTTTCTGCAGTGGACACGTACATCAGCTTGAATTTTGCCGCATGAAAATTTGTTGTTTCCTCTACCACTTTGGAGCTATAGTTTGGCCGAATTTTGTGAAACACCGCACGACATCCCACTTTGAAAGTCACGCTTAGCTGAATTTCCTTGAAATTTGAATTTATTATCGCCCGTACTATCACGTTATTGCGTTCGTCGCTAAAAGAAATTCGTCTCGGAAGGTTTTAAAACATTCAGAAGATGCTGAATTCTTGAGCCTGTTCGCGACGAAATTAATATTCTCGGCTCAGACTAGATTGGCATAATATTATTAAGTTGCCAAGCACCTCGATGCCGGCAACTTTCAATTAACTTAAACGCAAATCGTTAACAGATAAATCCATTGAGATCTGCAGCTATGTTCCCCTCGGATATGATTAACCGCATGGTAAATGAACTAGATACGCCAGGCACCTGTTCCATAGCTATCTACGATACTCCCAATGGATCGTAGGCCTCGTCCAGCAAATCAAATTAAATCATGCTGCAGCTCGATTAAATACCAGCGGAAACCTCGCTTACACCTATTTCAAAATGTTCGCAAGGCCCCGAACTCGATTAACTACGTAATCATCTACCAGTGACGGCTACCCAGTGACTATCTCCTGCGATTATTGCAGCAATAATTAATACGCGTTAAACTTACAACTCTACCGTCGTGCATAGCTAACATCTTGTAGTTTCCAATTTAAAATCGATTGGAACGACGTGTTTTGGAATTAATTTCAAGCAGTTGTTTTAATATCGCGTATTTTCAATAATCTGTTTAAAAAAGATTTTGAATCACAAATCGTCTGGAATGATGCGTTTTGGAAATAATATTAGATAATCGTTTTAATATCATATATGTTACTCATGTTATAAATTATCTATCAGAAAGGTTTTGAATTTAAAATTGATTGGAACGACGTGCTTTGCAATGAATTTTAGGCAATTGTTTTAACATCAGGTATGTTAAATTATCTATTAATAAGATTTGATAGGAATTTAAAATCGACTAGGATGATGTGTTCTAGAAGTAATTTTGTCTTTCTAATTTAACAATTGTTCTGATGTTATGTATGTTGAAGCGTCTATTAAAAAGATGTATTTCCTTTCCGTCTATTTTTTGTAGTTTCGTACTTTTGGTTTTGAGAAAAGTTCAATTTTAAATTTAATTATTTATAAATGAGTGTATTAACAATTAGCACTGTAATTAGCTACCCGGCTTTGTTTGTTCTAATATATATATACATATATATACATACATACATATAATATAATAATAGCCATTGAATATTTGAACTTGATATTGAAGTTTCATCTTTTACTTATTTTCCTAATTCTTCTCAGATGAATATCTCTAATAATATTACAACATACATTTTTGTCAATCTTCAGAAGCATTTTTTTGTAAGACGGTTTGTTTTAAGATGTATAAAACACTGTGAAGTCGCAAATATCAAATATCTTGTTAGATTTGTTATCCAGCAGA